ACAGTAAGTAGACTTGAATAAATTAAAAGTGCATATATATTACAAACTAAACCAACCATTAAAAAAAAGAAAACACTCAACCGAGCCAAAAGAAAAGAGAAAAACAACAGAAGGTACAACAGAAAATTAATAAGATTTAAATATAATATCAGAATCATATTAAATAAAAATGCTCTAAATACCTTTAAAGGGCTAGTATTATTAGACTGAAAAAAGGCAAGGCCCAACTGCATCTATCTTCAGGAAAACAGTTTTAAATATAAAGGCATAAACAGGTGAAGAGTTAAGGAATGGAAAAAAACACATCTCACTAACACTTACCAAAAAAGCTGCAGTGGTAATATTAACATCACATAAAATACATCTCAGGACAGAGTACTACCAGGGATAAAGGGGTCGATTCATCAAGATGGCATACAATCCTACATTTAATTTTTACATGGAAGAACAGAGCTTCAAAACAGAAAACAAAACTGATCTGAGAGGGAAAACAGTCAATGCCACACTTACAGGATGAGACCCTGCAGGCCCTGTTACCCTCTCTCACTAGGTGACAGAAGAGTAACCAGAAAACCAGGTAAAGGAAAAGATGATCTGAACAACGATGACAAGCTATTGCCTAGCTGACATTTACAGAACACCCCAACAGCAGCAGTATACACATTATTTACGTGTTTAAGATGAATGTTTACCAAAATAGACTATATACTCCACCATAAAACAAGTCTGAAGAAATTGTACAGGATGCAAATAATGCAAGCTATGTTCTCTAACTACAATGTAACTAAATTCAAATCAATAAAAAATATATCTGACAGTCCCTCAAATACGGGGAAACTGAGTAATGCTTCTAAATAATCCATGAACCAAAGATAAAATCACAAGATCAGTTTGAAATTACATTGAACTAAGTGAAACTGAAGAGATAACACATCAAAATTTGCGAGATGGAATGAAGGTAGTGCTTAGGGGGAAACGTTAGCACTAAATGTTGATATCTGAAAAAACAGAGAAGTCTCAAGCCAATCTCCAAGCTTCTACATAAAACAAAACAACACCAAAAGGCCAGGCATGGTGGCTCACGCCTGTAATCCCAGCACTTTGGGAGGCTGAGGCAGGCAGATCACAAGGTCAAGAGATCAAGACCATCCTGGCCAACATGGTGAAACCCCATCTCTACTAAAAATACAAAAATTAGCTGGGCGTGGTGGTGCATGCCTGTAATCTCACCTACTTGGGAGGCTGAGGCAGGAGAATCACTTCAACCTGGAAGGTGGGGGTTGCAGTGAGCCAAGATCACACCACTGCACTCCAGCCTGGCGACAGAGCAAGAGTCAGTCTCAAAAAAAAAAAAAAAAAAGGCAAAAAAAAAGTCAAGGCTGGGCGTGGTGGCTCACTCCTGTAATCCCAGCACTTTGGGAGGCTGAGGTGGGCAAATCATGAGGTTAAGAGATCCAGACCATCTTGGCTAACACAGTGAAACCCTGTCTCTACTAAACATACAAAAAATTAGTTGGGTGTGGTGGCACGTGCCTGTAATCCCAGCTACTCGGGAAGCTGAGGCAGGAGAATTACTTGAGCCTGGGAGCCAAAGGTTGCAGTGAGCCAAGATTGCGCCACTGTACTCCAACCTGGGCAAAAGGGAGAGACTCAGTCTCTAAATAAATAAAAAGAACAAAAATTTAAAAATCAGAATAAAAGCAAAAAATGAAACCCAAAGGAAACAAAAGAACAAAACAGTAAAATAATGAAATCAAAAATAAAGAAATCAATAAAACCAAAGGCAAGTGACAGGATTTCATTCTTTTTTTTTTTCCAACAATATATTTCTCCATGAAGCCCTAGAATTTATTCTTTTTATGGCTGAATGGTAGTCTATTGCGTATACATGCCACATTTCCCTCATCCATTTAGGCTGACTGCATATCTTGGCTATTGCAAACAGGGCTGCAATGAACACGGGGAGGCAGGCGTCCCTTCAATATACTGATTTCCTTTCCTTTGGATAAATCCAGCAGTGGGATTTCTGGATCATACAGTAGTTCTATTTTTAGTCCCTTGAGAAATCTTCATACCATTTTCCATAATGGCTCTACGTAGTAATTTATATCCCCACCAACAGTGTATTAGAGTTCCCTTTTCTCTGTATCCTTGTCAGCACTGTGATTTTTTTGTCATTTTGATCATAGTCATTCTAACAAGAGTGAGATATCTGATCATAGTTTTGATTTGCATTTCCCCAAGGATTAGTGATGTTGAGCGTTTTTCATACACTTGGCCATTTGTATATCTTCTTTTGAGAAATGCCTATTCAGAGCCTTTGCTCATTTTTAATTGGATTATTTGTTTTCTTGCTGATAAATTGTTTGAGTTTCTTGTATATTCTGGACATTATTCCCTTGTTGGACGAAGAGTTTGCAGATATTTTCTCCCATTTCACAGGTTGCCTCTTCATCCTGTTTATTGTTCCTTTGCTGTGCAGAAGCTGCTTTAATTTCATATATATAGTCCCATTTACCTACTTTTGCTTTTGTAGTTGAATTCATAAAACCTTTGCCGAGATCAATGTCCTAAAGCATTTCTCCTATGTTTTCTTCCGGTAGTTTTACATTTTGAGGTCTTACATTTAAGTCTTTAATCCATTTTGAGTTAATTTTGTTGTACGGTGAGAGAGAGAGGTCTCAAGTCACCATAATGATGGAGTAAATCAATAAACACTGTTGGAACATTAGCTTGATGACAGTGAGAAGGAGATGCGGGGAAGAGATAAATTGTATTTGTATTCATTCCTTACAGCAAAATTATCTTGGAGCAAAGGTTTACAATTTAATCATGAAGCCATAAATGTATAGAATAAAAAAAATAATATTTTATAACCTTTTGAAGGAGAAGTCCTTTCCGAAGCATGCTAGGAAACACGTAAGCTTTGAGCAAAAACACTGATAAATTTGACTCTCATAATGAAAAGTGAGCAATTGACCATTTAAAAGACTGACAATATTGAATTGTGCTAAGGGTGTGGCAAAGCAGGCGTTGCTGTATACCACTGTTATAAAGGTATCACCCTTTGAAGTGTAACATTAAAATATAAAGGATGCATGTACTTCAGTGTAACAATTCAACTTTCAAGAACTTATCCTACAGAAACTCACACAGGTAGACAAAGGTATGACAAAGATCCTGTTTATTTTTCCCACATCTTAGAAAGTTGGGGAGAAATCTGGAACATCCATCAATGAAGACTGGCTAAATAAATTATACTAGATATTAAATAGAATAAAAAATACCCATGGGCATCCACATGGGCACAGGCATGCCTGCATGCACACGTACGCATGTGCACACTCTACCACTGCTGCTGTGGGCAGTACAAAGTACAACAGACACAAAATAGAATACTCAGTGCGGTCCCATTTTTAACAAAAGACATACAATACATGCATGGAAAATAATGAGGAGAACATGCACTGGCTGTAAGTCATGAAATCATGGGAAACCGCCACATGCTACGTTCGACATTGCTGTGTTGTTTAAACCTTTTACACACAAAAAAAAGATAAACCTAAAATTTCTATGTAATAACTTGCCCTTACTGACTTTCTATCAGTCTTTTTCCAATTTGGCATCTCTAATAAATCCAAAATGCAATTTCACTTGCTAGAACTATTTTAAAGGCTCTACTTTTCTCATAAATTTGTAAACTGATTTAGTACATCAGATTTCCTGGCTCGGTCTGAGAATCCTTTGCAGCTCTGGGTAAGCACAGAAATTCTGCTTTTCCTTGTTCATCCGAAAAAAAAACAAAACAAATGCAAAGAGCATGAAAAGCAAATGCTAACAATGTTTGCTGCTTTCTTTAATCAAAACTACTAATTCTTTGCTGACATTTCTACTTTCTTAAAATGTGGGTAATCTCAGTTGTTTTTGTTCACGAATAAACTTTACAGGGTCCTGTGTTACTGACTAATTTCAAGAAAAAGTAACATTCATTGGTTTCATATTGAGAAGGAGAAATCACTGATTTCACAGTAGGCTTTTCCAGTAGTTCTTTGCATTTATCATCAGTCATTTTACTTTACTCTATCTATCAAAGAACTCAAAATGCACACGTTCTGGGAGCAGAGTGATGGAGCAGTGCCTGACCACAGTAAGCATCCTATTTTTTAACACAAGCCTGAAACCAAAGTTGGCCAATGTAACTGAGAGTTAGGTCATCCAGAATTAGGGAAGAAGTTCAGTGGTGTCACTTGTCATGGCCTTTTGTGAGTTCATAACACTGAAGAACACTGGCCCTCCCAACTATTTCATTTTCCAGTTCCTGAATCAACTACAAGTAAAAACAAAAACCATAAAAGCTTTTGATCTTGAGCAGTACATTGTTCAACATCTTATCACTTACCTACTTCTCTCCTGCGTTTTCTAACTCAACTCTCCTTTAGAGAGAAGGGAGAATGTATATGTACTATTTTCTCAGAGTGAAGCCCAGAATATAGAGCAGAACCAGAAACAAGAATGACGATGATAAAACTCAAGATTCTACTGGCTTGGGAGAAGTTATGTGTATCACATTCTTAATATGTAACCTGTGACTGGCCACAGGTATACTAAGCTCTATTTTAGCTTTTTTTTTTTCATTGTGTACAATATGTGGTGTTTATCTCAATAAAATTTACCTTTATTTGGCTGGTTATACAGAAACTAGTTATGCTTTATTTAGCCCACATTTACTAGTATGTTTATTGTACTTAGTTCAGCCTATTTATTCAGCTAACGAGGAACTGATCAGATTAAAGTTACTATTCAGCTGTCATATGAACAACTTCACTTCATTCAATCCAGTATCAATAGATTGTACCCCAGCCCAAGAAAGTTATTTTGCAAACATGTATTTATGACATAAGCCACCAAGAAGGGATTTATATGTCAATTTTCATTCCCGAAAGAAACACCTCACATATACTGAAATGGCAGTCCGTGCTAGCAGTGTATAAAGCCATCTTTGTATACACCAAACATTTGTTACTTGGCTCCTTCTTCAATCTGTAACAGCCCTGAATGGGTACAGATGCGGATTTATCGCCTGCATGCAACAGGTGTTAACTGTATACATTCAAAAGTATTTTCCTAAACCACGCATTTTTAAATTTTAATCAAATCTTAATTTCTGGCCAGGCGAAGTGGTTTATGTCTGTAATCCCAACAATTTGGGAGGCCAAGGTGGGAGGTCTGCTTGAGGTCAGGAATTTAAGACCAGCCTGGTGAACATAGCAAGATCTCATCTCACAAACCCTAAAAAAAAAATTAGCCAAGCATGGTGGCATACCCCTGTAATCCCAGCTACTTGGGAAGCTGAGGCAGGAGGATCTCTTGAGCCAAGAGTTCAAGGCTGCAGTAAGCTATGATCATGCCACGGGACTCAAGCCTGGATGACAGAATGAGACCTCACCTCAAAAAGAAAAAAAAATAGTAAAGACAATAAAATTGAAATATTGTGGGGTTTTTTTAAAACAGAGTCTTGCTCTGGTACTGAGGCTGGAGTGCAGTGGCGTGATCTTGGCTCACTGTAACCGCTGCATCATGGGTTCAAGTGATTCTCTGTCTCAGCCTCCCAAGTAGCTGGGATTACAGGTGCATACCACCATGCCTGGCTAATTTTTAAAATATTTTTTAGAGATGGGGTTTTGCCATGTTAGCCAAACTGGTCTCGAACTCCTGACCTCAAGTGATCCACCCGCCTCAGCCGCCCAACGTGCTGGGATGACAGGCTTAGGCCACTGTACCCAGCCAATTAACTTTTAAAATCTTATTTTCTGTTTTATTATAGAAATTTTCACCCATGTGTGTAGCAAAATTTTGTTCATGGTATACTGAACATAAGCATGTAGGTTCTTAAAATTAAAAGGAACTTCTGTTTTTAACGTACTCTAAGAACCAATACATATTTGTTGAGTTACAAGTAGAGTAGAGAGCAAGGCAATTTTATAAGCCTGATGAATGCACAGGATTGAAAGCATCCCTTAAACGTAATGTGACTGTCTGTCTGCGCTGCATTGGTGTCTCAGTGATTAAACACTTTAGGCCTCCAGGGTCCATAAAGAGACTCTTTTCTAAAAATAGAGTTGACTTGAAA